CAAATTCCATTCTTTTTTCATTACAACGCTTTGTGGTCTAAGTTCATTCATGTAAAAAAAAAGTTAAATTAGTTCTTTATTTCAAGAATGCAACTGTTATGAGAAGAAGTCTTCATTTTAGAAGTGTGATTGTTGTATAGTACATTCAATTCAGTGACAAAATTTATTAACAATCTACTATGTTCCAAGTACTATATCATGCATCATTTCTTTATTAAAATATCTATGGAGATTAAATAATAGTGAGGATTTTCAAAATCTAAAAATATAATTCTTGCACTTTTTCTTTTGCTAGGACTGCTACCTGTGGTACAAAATAGGGAGAGACCAATTATTATTATTATTTTTACCTTATTAGCCAAATGACATTGTACCTAAAATGCATTTAATTTTCTCTGAGATTAACGTCTACTGGATTAACTATGATTTGAGTCAATATGACATCTAACAAATATGCCAAATCAAACCAAAATTAATCAAGTGGTAACCTTATTTATTTACAAATGCCACCATATCCTCCTGAGCTTTGCTGGACATCTAGGTATAATCAATATGCTATAACCTTTTATTAACACTGAGGTTTTCCATTGTCATGCAACAGTTCAAAAGTTACTACTCAGTTAGATCCATATACAGAAGACCTTGTTACTTTATATGTTCATGACCTTTTAGAAGGTTAGGTGCTTAGGTATAATCACTTTTATATAACATGGCATTTTAAGCACTTTATAATCTGCTAAGCAGCCATTCTAAATAGAAGAAACATGCACACACTTAAGCCAGTTATGTAGTGGGAATAAATTTAATTAAGCCAAGACTCTCTCTTACTGAAGTGTAATTTGTTCCTTGACCATAAACTATCCCTAGCCCTGAGAAGCATTCTCACAAATGTGTGCCATTAAGCTTGAGGTAAACCAGACAAGAAAATATAGATAGCAGAGCCAAAATCAGTAACTTTTGTGTATCTACTACCTGCAGGGTACCATGATCACTGTCACTGAACTTTCTAAATATTGTTGGTCAAAAGTATTATCTTTGAATATGAAAGTTTATATACTGTATAGGCTAGCAAGAAAAATCCACCTCTTACTCCTAGAATCTCATAGACCACAAATAAGAAACAAAAGCCCACAGTGGAACCAGGACAAGAACTTTCAAGACAGTAGTGAGGTGAGGTCCATAGTTTCTCTTTAGAAATTCCTTCTACAGATTTTCTGAAAAATGAGCACTAATTTGCATCTGGTTACACATCTAAACATTGCTGCTTTACCTTGGGTTTACTGGAGCAATTCTCATCAAAGGTTTCTCACCTACAATTGGAGACAAAGGGTTGGACTTGTGGGCCATTATTATAGTTGATGCATGTTCAAGAATCTTTTCTAACTTTTAGGAGAAATATCACATTTTAGATATCTTGGAACAACTATATTTCAGCACAGTCTGTATTCCTGCCCTGTTTATAATGTGAACAACTGAAGTAATTATCCAAGATTGACATTTGAGATAGCTTTCATTCATCAGGCAGATGAGTAGATATGGGGTGCGGCTATATCTCAAGTATCCTATTAACTCAATATTGTCACAGAGAAAACCTCCATGTATTAGTGCTACTATTATTCTGGCCCAAGGCATTCATGAATCCTTGGGAAGCTCCCTATCTTGGCTTTCTCAAGGTAACAAGAGCATGGATTTGAGCCAAAACACATCCACAAGTAGTTCTAATAAAATTAAGAAGCTCTAAGGAGCTGTGAGTTAGTAATGGAAAATATTGCTAACTGCAACAATGACAGTTTATGGTTAGGAAATTTCACCACAGTCTTGAGTACTAGTTCTGTCACAGCCTTAATAATAGATGAGAATCTGACTTCCATCAGTCCTCTCCTCTCCACATGTTTGGACCCATCTGAGTTGGGGATCCTAAAAGGGCTGTTGTGTTACTTGTCAGATAATTTTCATAAACACAATAATTCCTAAAATGAGATATAATTCTGAATGAAGACTTGCTTAATTTTGTCCTTCATTTTCTCAGAAGGGCCTGTCACTGAGGAGCTGATAGCCAAGATCCTGAAGTCTAGGTAGAATTCGGATACCAACCTCCACCTCTACAAGGGGTTCAGTTTAGTTGCTGAAGTTTGACCTCTTTCTCTTATGCAGGAAGAAGGTACAAGGGATTACCTTAATTTATTGAGGAAGTGCTGCCTATATGTGTTCTTGTTGACTTTCTTAACCATTCTTCATTGACTACCTTAAGAGTGAAACCAGTAAGAAAATTCTTTCCAGAATCAGTTAGCATTTGAAGTCAGTTTTAATGAGGTAGATGACTTATTTCAATTCAATAAATATTTATTGAGCAGCTATAGAATGTTTAATCAGTATTGTGCTAGATACTATGGGATATACCATAAAGTATTACTCATTTTTTACTCTTAAGTTTATTTCTTTTGTGATAGGAAGAAGGTACTAAAAGAACAAGACTTACATTTATAAAATAATATAAAAACAATTGAAGATAATTGTGCACAAAGTGCTAAATTGAATTAGCTTGTTGGCTGGCATAGCATCAGTTTTTATGGAAGTTGTATATCTTGAGATGAGTTTCAAAGGATGGGTAAGATTTGGACATACAACAAGTAGAAAAGATATTTTAAGGAGCAAACAATGTGAGTGAAGACCCATAGGCAGGAATAGCATGGTGTCTACCCAGGACAGTGAAATCTACCATGGATGGAGCACAGAACAAGTTGGGAAATAGAAAGTGTTACTATGTTTATGTAAACATCTAAAGGATTTACATTGAATATATACAGGGTGCCCCATAAGTTGTCATACATAGGGGAAAAAAGAAATTATAATTAAATGTACCTTTATTTACAAAATATTCATTATAAAATTTTTCAATTTTTTTCTTTTATATGGAGACTACAAAAGAAAAATTTTATAATTAACATTTTGTAACTAAAGGTACATTTAGCTACAATTTCCCATTTTCCCTATGTATAGTGACTTTTGGAACACCCTGTAAATACAGATATATGGATCTATATCTATTTTAATACAGTATCTGTATCTTTCTCTCTATATATGGACTACTTATTAATTCTATGACATTTAAACATACTGTGTGATGATACTGATTTTACAGGTTTACCTATCTACTCATGCCTCCATATAGGAGACTTTAGTTTGTTTAGGAGATAACCATTACCTCCCTAGGAAAGCGACTCCAAAGGGTACATCAACAAGATAACTAACATTGTGCTATACTCATCCAGGATTTTAAAAGTTATATTATACATACCTTTAAAAATATGATGATAGTACACTGTAGTTTGTATCCTGCTTTTTTTCACTGACTAGTCTTGTAAATTGTTTTTCATGTCACAGATGTGATTATGAAAGCTCATCTTTACTTACTTTGCAATTCTTCCATTTTCCTCAGAATGTGTGGTTTTGTAGGGTCTGTATTCAGAGGACAGGTTAAAAAAGTATCAGTGGTAAAATTCAAAGTCCATTTGTCATCTGTATACTCAGGAATAAATGTGTTTTTAGGGCATTTGGACCTCCATGCAATATCAAAGTAGTATGGAGTATGACCTAAGTTATTATCCTCCAGGTAGTGTATCTTAAGGATGGGAGGCAAGGTGGCTGACAATATCAAAAAGATTGGTACCAAAGACTATGAAGCCAATAGAATATGTCTTATTTGGACACTATTCATAATAACTTGCATTTAGGATTTCAGATGTCTCTGAAGTCTACAAATTTTCTACACTTGCCCCTGAGCTACTCTTTCCCATGTCAGATTGACTAGATATTCAGTCCAAATAATAAATGGAAGGAGTCCAACAAGAAATACATAGAGATACATTGAATTGAGTGGGTTTACTTAATCTAATTTTAAGATGTACTAACAAATAAAGCTGGCTTTTACTGAGAATATGCAAGTCCAAATGAAAGTAATTATTTTATTGTCAGTATAATTTTAAAATAATCAGTATGTGAAAGAGTTCTCTGCACTTCATGTCTATTGTAATACTATTCACAATAGTCAAGACCTAAGATCAACCTAAGTGTCCATCAGTAGATGAATGGATAAAGAAAATGTTATATATATGCACAATAGAATAATATTCAGCCTTGATAATAATGAAATCCTGCATTTGTGGCAACAGGGATGAGCCTGGAGGACATTATGTTAAGTGAAATAAACCAGGCACAGACAGATAAATACTTCATGTCTCACTCATATGTGGAAACTAAATCTGTTGAATTCACAGAAGTAAGAGTAGAATAGTGGTAACTAGAGGCTGAAAAATGAAAGGGAGAGGTTGGTTAACAGATTCAAAATTACAGCTAGATAGAGGAATAATTTCTAGTGTTTTATAACAGTGTAGAAAGATTATAATTAACAGTAATTTACTCTACATTTTCGAATAGCTAGAAGAGAGGATTTTGAATGTTCCCAATATGAACAAATGATAATTATTTGAAGTGATGGATGTGCTAGTTACCCTGTTGTACACAGGTATTGAAATACCACATTGCAACTCATAAATATGTACAATTTTTGTGTGGCAATTAAATTTTTTAATTTAAAAATTAATAAAAATATATTAATAATTCATATTTTCTTTTCCCACAGGAGTTAGATGAGCAAGCTTTGTGGTGATAATTGAAAATTCAAAGATTTTTATTCACTGATTTTACTATTTTATTTAAGTACTTAGGTTCAAGAATATTTATGTTATTCAACTTTTGCATTGAGCTACATCACATAGACTTGAGTGAAATGAAATTAAAAATGCCATTGCAATGTTGATTTTTCCTTTAAATTACTCCCATATTGTAAAATGTGTACTTCAGATGCAAAGGAAATTTAGTGGCTTGATTTATATGATGACTTTAATATGTTACTTTACTTTTTTTCATTTCACATCAAAATGTCTGTGAACTTAGAAAAACTTAATATTGTTTTTAATTGTGATTGATATTTGCTTCAGGTGGTAATTCAGGATGATGGCCCTGAAAAATTAGATCCCAAATATTTTGGAGAGTTGCTTGCTGATCTAAGCCGTAAGAATATGGATCTATACCACTGCTTATTAGAACACTTGCAGAGAATTGGAGGAAGGTACCGTAAACATATTGTTTGCCTCAATGTGGTAGCTATCGAACATTTTACAACATTCTATAATAGTACTTTTTGAATAAGCTTTATTTTTACGAGCAGTATTAGGTTCATGGCAAAACTCTAGTACTTTAAATGGGTTAACAGGGCAACTACCATGTTTCCCTGAAAATAAGACCTACCCATAAAATAAGCCCTAGCAGGATTTCTAAGCATTTGCACAATATAAGCCCTACCCTGATAATAAGACCTAGTGATGGGATGGCTACGCAGTGTATCTGCACAACACATGCATTTTGTCACAGAGCAATAAAGAAGAAGAGCAGCCCTTCTCATCTGCCCCATGAAAGTTCTATTGCTCAACATGAGAGACTGGGGCCAGTGGTTCTAAAGGAGATAGTGTTGCAAGAAATTCAGGATGGAATTCGGGGTTTGGAGAGTTATGATGATGTTCCAGAAGAGACAACTTAACTATATTTGAATAAACGTAGATTGTACCATACTTAACAAAAATAACACATCCCCTGAAAATAAACCCTAGGGTGTCTTCTTGAGGAAAAATAAATATAAGACTCTGTCTTATTTTTGGTGAAACACAGTATATGAGCAAATCTGACCAAATGTCTCATTTTAAGAGTTAATGCAGTTTATGAAAATCATCAGATCACAAAACCCTTTTAGGATCAGTAAAGAATTCTGTGTACCTTCTATTATAATTTACTTTGATGGTAAAAGCAACCTCTTGGTCAAGGAGCTCAAAAAATACATGGTATACTATGATTTGTTTTAAGATTCTATATTGATGATATAAGATACAATGTAATTGCCAACACACCACTGTTTAATCTTCCATTTATGTGTGTTTAAGATATGGAGGCCAGAGTGTAATATATACTTGATATGTAATATATTACAATTCTGTATATTATATTAATATTATATAAAAATTGATATAAATATATTATATAATTTTATATAGCATAATAACATATAATTATATCATTAAATATAGACACATTAGTAATTTATAAACTGCTTATGTGCAAATGAGAGCATATTATATCATGAAATGAATTTTATAAGCTACATCCCAAAAGTTGCCTTTTACTATATCGTTACAACATATATGTGGTCAGCTATGAAACAAAATCTGGGAAAGTTCCACAAATTTAGAATAATCTGGAAGATAAATGAAAGTCAATACATTGTTTTCTAATTCAGACTTTATAATAAATAGTTTCTTCTACTTCTTAGATCTTTTTTATAATGTACAGGTTTACATAAATGGGATGACACCTTTATACTATTTTGTACACCTTTTCACTCAGAATTACATGGTATATATTTTCCATGTCGATAATAATTTTAGTGCCTGCAATGTAGTCTCTGTTAATCTTTTTTCTATCTTTTTTTTTCCATTTATTGCTCCTTCCTTCCTGCCTTTTCTTGCTTTCATATTCTTGACTGCAATCATTCTTTTACCATTAGTTGCAACTGCTTTGCATCCTTAGCTAACTGTCATTCCCACTTAGCAAAGTCCCAATTCTGAATCAGTCTAGCTCTCTGCCTTATTGATTGTCTCTTTTTACCACCACTTCCTCCATCCAACACCCAACATACACTATCCTTAGAATGCAAAGGGCTCCATGAGGGTCGTTTTATTTACCGTGATGTCCTTGCTGCATAGCATAGTGATTGGTTTAGTGTGGTGCTAAATTAATATGTTGTTGAGTGAATGAATGTTTTCTTTACTGCTATACCCATGTTGCTGTTCACTGCTAGAGAAAAGCACAGTTGTTTATTTGAAATGGTGCCATTATGAATGTATGGTTTCCATTTTCAGTTAGGCCTTTATCATTGTTTTATCCTACTCAACACCCTCTCCTATTATCTATTACCCAAACAACTCTTCCTCTCTCCTGTTACCCAAACAACTACTTCACACATTCACCTCTTTACATAAGTTCACTACCTTAAAGTCCTTCCCTTTATTTCCTTCTTTTCCAAGAGGTGATGTAGTATATGTGAGTACCACTCTGTTTCTTTTTCTGCCCAATGTAATTCTAGCCACTATGCCCCAGTGTTAAATAGAGAGGTAATCCACACTGACCTTTCCACCTCCCTGATCCGTTCTGTTTCTACTTTCTCCTTCTCTTACCCCCCCCCAATTTTGTCTCCAATTTTCTTCTCTTTCCAAAGTGCAACTCAGCAATGAGTCGGCTGCAGGATCAGAATTAAGGATGGTTGTCTCATGAAACCATTCTGGTTATATTTTAAAAATTCCAAAATTAAGCATTATTGATTGCTACTTGTCTTGTTTTCTCATTTATAAAAAGAAATAAGTGACTAGGGACATGTATATGAGAGTGGCATTGGCATAGGGAGAGTGAAGGATTAGTATCTTTTAAATACAAAAGGTATATTAATACTACCGTAATTCCAGTTAACAGTAATGCAAGGCTGTTAAAACTGCATTGTGATACAGGTTTTTAACTTGCTTTGTCTTTGAATATATACACGCAGTTATTTTAGTAAAACATTAAAAAACTAGAAGTTATTTCAATTTTTGCTAGGGCCTCCCCACAACTGCAGTTTTGGGCAACACAGGAAATAACATATACATACATGCAGATAATTGCACATAATGAAGTCGTGCATTAGGAAGTGGAAACTTCAGTTCTATTTCTCCATACTACTTTGCATATTTTTATAAGTGTATGCAAGAGATTTTGCACAATGAGTGACCCACTTAAGCTCTATAAGCAATATATTACTCATAAACAATTACTTAGATGGTAATGGTAGGAGCTAACATACTAAAACTTTTACTTTAAAATAAATATTCTGTCTTGCTGTCAGAACATGTGTACTGATCTTTTATTTTAGAAGTACGTTCTCCATATGTATTTTGGGCCCAATTCTACAAAGTGGAGAGGGAACAAGTAGACAAAAATAAATAGAACTGTGTTCTTTCCATTTTTCACCATTCCTAAAGGAGGAAGTGCCAGTCTGATGGAACCACCAGCAATTCTCCAGAATTTGCCTACCGAACATGGCTTCACAAAAGGCCTTTCAATCCCCATGGCCAAATCCTTGTTATGATGCTGGAAATTCTATTACCCCACTAGAATTTTGACCATTTTGCTTAAGGCTTTGTCCCTGTGTAGAGATTCAAATGCCCTTCCAGCCTCATCACTGCCAAATGTACTCTAGTATAGATTGAATAAGTTACTAAGGCTTGTATTGCAAGTTTTGATTTTGATGAAAATGGTATGAAGAATTTAAAAACACATTGGAAAGGAGCTGGAATCAGAACTGAAAAAGGATAATACAAGAAAGGGAAAAAGAAGGTGGAAATAGAGAAAAACTATTATTGATATTTATTCGCCCAGGTAGTATTGTCAAGCATCAAGGACTTCTAATGTAGCCGCAAATGAACTGGTGCTGATGGACAGCACTAACCATTTCTACATATTTTATTGTTTTGGTTTTCAGTTGCTGTTCATTTTTAATAGATCAGCTAATTCCAGGAAAATTATTTTCATTTGTAATTATAAATTAAATCAGTGTCATGATATATCAAAAAGTGATATCAATTTAAAAGAATACAATCATTTATATATGATTAGTGAATACGTTTTCCTATCTTTTTTTTCATTCTTGCAGCAAACAGGACTTTGAGTCTACAGATGAGGTAAGTGCAAATATAGTTGAAAATTAAATATAGTAGATAACAAAGTAGATTCTGATACTTGCACTAATAATATTCCTTTAGTTTAGGACCTCCTTTATTAGACTGAAAACATAGATTAGTGAAAAAATCATTTTGCCTTTAAAATGATATAACCATTTACATCTTTGTAATGGCTATAAAAGTAATAATCATTCACAAAAATGTTTTAGCCATCACTTTATGATTTAACTTGTCTTGTGTATCAGAATATTTAAAATTTTATTGATCATATACTTTCTGCTTTAGAAAACTGGAATCTACATGATTAACTAAATAAATAGCAAATTTAGTTTTAAAATGCTTCAAAACCAATTTGATGGTGAGTACATATGGAGCCCATTCTTCTGATCTTGTGTTGCCTCACTTTGGATAATGGGCTTAAGTTTAATCCAAGATAGTATAAGCGGTGCTAACGTGTTGTCGTTTATTAGAATTGAGTAATATTCCATTGTAAACATATACCAAATTTTAATAATCCACTCATGAATTGACGGGCACTTGGGTTGTTTCCATGTCCTTGCAATAGCAAATTGGTACTGACTGATTAACACTATGGTGTTCAAATGGTCGTGGTGTTCACCAGGGATTCGGGGAGTTGGTGGGGTAGACCCACATCTGAGGGATGTGGTGAGCATTGTGGAGGGTGAGGGCATATCCCTAACCCTTGCTAGGGAGAGGCAAAGATATAAAAGGTAACCAAAATGTTAAAAAAAAAAAAAACATTTATCAGGTGTAGGGCAGGTGGGAGGTGGGAGGAGGGGATGAGTATATACATACATAATGAGTGCGATGCGCACCACCTGGGAGACGGACACGCTTGAAGCTCTACTCGATGGGGGAGGGGAGGCAAGGGCACTATATGTAACTTTAATATTTGTACCCCCATAATATGCTGAAATAAAAAAAGAAAAGAAAAAATGCTTCAAAACCTTGTATGTGCCACACCAAATAGCCAGTATCCTGAAGTAAAAAATTTTCAAATATTAATCCTGTTACATATGTATATTTTGTTAATAATTGCTTTTAACAGAATAAGTAACCACACAGAGAAAGAACTAATTTAAATGCAATAGAAAGCACAACTTTCTCTTTGTGTTTTTTTTTCTATTTCCAACGTAATGGTATACTGCATCCCTTACAATAATTCAGTTAGTCCTTAATTGTCTCTAAGAAGTACATACTTTCAATTCAGCTTCTCACTTAAAATTAGTTGAAGATTCTCAGAGTTGCTGAGGCAACGTCATAATCCTTCAAAAATTACCACAGCTCTATATAAATTCTCAATAAATCCTATACCACCCTAATTTTATTTTATTAAAAATATCTGCCTGTAAAGTGCCATATATATCAACCAAAAAAACTTCCAGTTGTTGAAAGAGACAATGAATGAAGTGTTTAATGGTGTTTAATAGACCATTTTCTTTTCAAATTGCTCCTTTTAAAAATAGAAATGGAACATCTGATTGGTTGCCCAATGCTTTTCCCTAAAATGTCTGGAATTCAAGGTTTTTTCTATGGTGTATGTAATATGATTGATTTTTTAAAAGTAAGAACTGATAAGGCTAGAAATGAAATTCATAGAAACTATTTCTCAAAAGGTGAGTTAATCTTTTAATACCCTAACAATATGCTCCGTTACACAAAGTCTGTGGACTGCTGACACTAAGATTAAAATGCTAATATATATCTGTTCAATGGATAAGCCTCTCTTTTCTTACAGTCTGAAGACATTGAATCATTGATTCCTAAAGGATTGTCAGAGTTTACCAAACAACAGATTCGCTATATTCTGCAGGTAAGATGGGGTCAGGAGTAAACATGTGAGAGCAACACTAACAAACTGCTTTCTAGGACACTTCTTTTAATTAAGAACAGAAAGTCCCAAATAAAATGCTGTTACACAAGAGTTGACTATACTTTTATCAGACTTTAGTCTGACTACCAAAAACTACTATTTAAAGACTAGTGTTCAGGAGAACATTCTAGAAATATTACTCCCTGCTGTGGAATGGCCTTACTAACTCCTTAACATTTAGTACAACCTGACTGTAACTCATAATCTTTGCCCTCCTCTTCTCCATTCCATCCTCTACCCCACCCCACCCCACCACTGATAGGGAGGGATGGAGAGGCCAGAGCATTGATTTTCCTGAATTGTGGAATGCTAAATATCACTGTAGCAGTAAATTCCCCTATGAAGGAGAGAGAGACAACAGATAAAGATAGATGCTAAGGAAATATGATTAAAAAGAAGAGCACGTGTATTTGCAAGAAAGGATTCTGAAGATAATCCAGTTTTGTCTGGTGAGGCCAGTTTCTAAATTTGATATTTGGTCTCAGACCTTTGTTGATAATCCAAGTATTGAACCTGATATCATATTTGTGAAACTTAAATGAAATATGATTTTAGTGACACACAGTATGTATTATAAAGAGACAGTGGTGGGGGAAAAACACATGCTCCTTAGAACCTGAATCTGAAAGACCTCCCTGATATTATCTCCAGTGGTGGAATGTCCATCCAAAGTGCATTCTAGGCCTATTTCTTTGAAACACTCTTTCTGATGATTTTTGCATCTAAGTGCATGACAGACATTGGTTTATATTTTCCTCCCCCCTCCCTCCCTCCTCCCTCCTCCCTCCCTCCTCCCTCCCCTCCTCTTCCTCCTTTCCCTTCCTTCCTTCCTTCCTTCCTTCCTTCCTTCCTTTCTTTTCTTTCCTCTCTTTACTTTTGGTATCAGGATAATACTGGCTTCATAAGATGAATTGGGAAGTATTTCTTCCTTTTCTGTTTTCTAGAAGGGACTCTAGGTTTGCTGTTAGTTCTTTTTCATTTGGTAGAATTCTCCAGAGAAAATGAGCCTAGAGATTTGGTTTTGGGGAGTTTGAAAATAATTCTAAATTCAATTCCTTAATAGTTATAGGGCTGTTCAAATAATCTGTTTCATATTGAGTGATTTATGGTAGCTTGTGTTTTTCAAGGAAGTAGTCTATTTCCTCTAAATTTTCAAATTTCTGTGTATATAGTTTTCATAATATTCTATCCTTTTGATGGCTTCAGGGTATATATTGCCATCCCCTATTTAATTCCTTATACTAATAATTTGTGTCTTCTCTCTTTCTTCTTTGTCAATTTTGCTAGAGTTTTATCAATTTCATTGATTTTTTTCAAAGAAGCAGATTTTAGTTTCATTTGGGTTCCCTATTGTTTCCCTAGTTTCATTTTCATTTATTTCTATTTTAAAATTCCAAAAAGAACAGATTTTTCATGTTCTCACCACAAAAATAATTTTTGTTGTTATCTTTATTATTTCTTTTATTTGCTTGTTTTGGGGTTATTTTGCTCTTCTTTGTATAGTTATTTGACATAAGAACTTAGGTTAGTGATTTAAAACTTCTCCTGTTTTCTATTGTAAGCATTTAGTGCTATACATTTCCCTCTTATCATGACTTTAGCTGTGTCCCATAAATTTTGTTATGTTGTATTTTCATTTTATTTCAGTTCTATGTGTTTTTGTTTCTCTTGAGACTTCTGCTTTGACCTGAGGATTATATAAAAGTGTATTGTTTAGTTCCCAAGTGTTTAGAGATTTTCCTATTTTCTTTCTGTTAGTGATTTCTAGTTTGATCCCATTTTGGTTGGAGGACAACTCTGTATGAGATCAATTCTTTGAAAATGGTTAAGCTTTGTTTTATGATCAAATATATGGTCTATCTTAGTATATGTTCTATGGGCACTTAAAAAATCTGTATTGCATTGTTGGGTGGAGTGTTCTGTAAATGTTAGTTAGATTCTTTGTTTGATGGTATTGTTGAGTTCTTCTATATTCTTGATCATTTTCTGCCTCATAGTTCTATCACTTGCTGAGAGAGGAATATAGAAGTCTTCATTATAACTGTAGATTTGTCTATTTCTCATTTCAGTTCCATAAGTTTATGATTCACATATTTTGCAGCCCTGTTATTTGCTGCATAAACATTTAGGATTGCTATGTCTTCTTATTAGATTGACTCTTTTACCATTATGTAATATCTAATTCCAACCTTGGTAATTTTCTTTGTTCTGAAGTGGATTTCATCTAATATCAGTATAGCCACTCCTGCTTTCTTTGTTGCTATAAATTCTTTGGATTAATGTTTATATGGTGTGTGTCTGTGTACATGTGTGTGTGTGTGTGTATATATATATATATATATATATATATATACTTTTTATTATATTTGAAGTTAGTTTCTTGTAGACAACACATAGTTGAGTCATTTTTTTTTTATTTTTCCACTCTGTCAATCTCTGTCTTTTAATTGGTATATTTTTTAAAAGTTGTAATTACTGATATTTTAGCGCTGGATCTGTCTTTTTTTTAAACATTGATTTTGTTTAATGTTTGCAATTACAAGTAAGTTAATAAAATACATATTTTTATATTTTTGTTTTCTATTTGTTCTCTCTGTTTGTTTCCCACTTTTCTTTGTCCTGCTTTCCTGTGGATTACTTAAACATGTTTTAGAATTCCATTTTGATTTTTCTCTGATGCTTTTGAGTGCTTCTCTTAGTATAGTTTCTTTAATGGTTGCTGTAGGTATTATATTATATATCCATAACTTATCTCAGTGTAATGGTGTCAGTATGTTACCAGTTTCAGTGAATTGTTTGCTTCCTTTATTTCTCTTTATCCTCCATATTTATAATTGTCTTAATTATTCCCTCTACACATATTGAGAACTACATCAGTGTTATAATTTTTTCTTCAACCATTTAACATAATTTAGAAAACTCAAGAGAAGGAAGACCTATTGCATTTACCCATATTTTTGCTTACAATGCTATTTCATCCTTTTTAATGTTCCAAATTCCTTCTGTTACTATATTCTTCTTTTTAGAGAACTTCCTTTAGCTATTTTTTTAGGGTAGTTGGCTAGGGACAATTATTTTCATTCTCCTTCATCTGAAAATGTTGTGATTTTTTTCTTTAATTCCTAAAGGCTGATTTCACTAGATACAGAATTTACAGCTGACAGTTCTTTTCTTTCATTACTTAAAGATAAAGTGTGCCGGTTTCTTCTGGCCCCATGGTTTCTAATGAAAAATCTGTTGTCATTTGACTTGCTATTCCTAATAGTTAAGGATTTCCTTGCTGCTTTTAAACTTTTTAATTTGTCTTTAGTTTTAAGAAGTTTTACTCTGATATTCCTGGGCATAGATGTCTTTGGATTTATCCTGTTTGCGATTTATTTAGCTTCATGGATATCTATGTTGATGGATTTTGCTAATTTGGGGAAGTACTTCGCCATTTTTTAAAAATATTTTTTCAGCTACACCCTCTTTCTCTTTTCTTGCAGGACTCTTATGATGTGAAAATTAGATCTGTGTTATACTCCCACAAATTCCTAGGCTCTTTAACCTTTTTTCCAATCTAGTTTCTCTCTGATATTTGGATTATATACTTTCTATTGTTCTAGCTGATTGATTCTTTCCCTTGTTCTCTCTGTTCTTCTTTTTTAGCTCATTTGTTGAGAGTTTTTGTTTTGGTTTGGTTTTTGTTTACTTGTTTTGGTTATTGAACTTTTCAGTTCTAAAATTTCTATTTACTTATTCTTAATATCTTCTATTTTTTTGCTGAGATTTTCTATTTTGTTGTCGATACACTATATTTTTATTTGTTTTAAGTATCTTTGTAATTTCTTCTTGAAACATTTTGTTATGGTTACTTTAAAACCCTTGTTGGATAATTCTAACATTTCTATTATGTTGATGTTGCCATCGATTAATTGTCTTTTCTTATTGAGTTGAGATTTTCCTTGTTCTTGGAATAGCATGTGATTTTTAGTTGAAACATGGAATTTTTTGTATTATGTTATGACACTCTGGATCTCATTTCAAACATTCTGTTTTGGTAGGCGTTTTATGATACTGAAACATCAGAGGAAGTATGGGCACTGCTTATTACTTCCAGCTAGGAGTGGAAGTCAAGCTTCCCCCACTAAGCCTCTCTTGATATGATTCGGTGAAAGCCCAAGCTCCTTTCATGATCTGAACTGATAATCGCAGTGCTTGGGTTTCATTTTTGCTCAGTGGGTATGAAAGCCCAATCTTTCTACTCAGCCTTCTCTGACACCAACCTGGTGAATGGTGTTGGTGTACCTCCCTAGAGCCTGACAAGGGGGGAAGTCTAGGCTCCCCCTTGGCCTTTGATGCTTTGGGTGTGAGTAGAGTTGCAGCTTTTTCTGTGATGTTTGGCTGAAGTAGAATGGTTACTGTCTAAAAATTTTCTGTCTTACTAGGCTGCCCCTTTCACACTTCTTTGGATAGAGAGAGGAGTCTTTTCTCAGGACTTTTGTTGTCTGTATCCATTGGTTCATCTGGCTTACCAGCTTTCCCAACATCAGCCTTATATATGAAGCAAAAAGAAAATTCGGGAACTCACTGCTGTGCCATTCCTCAGGTCTCAAGGTTCCTAACCAGTCTTCTTTCTTTTTTCATCATTCCAAGTCTTTTTATATTTGTTTTATAAATAGTATACAGGGTTTTTAGTTGTACTTACCAGGAGGACTAGGGAAAAGTATTTCTACTCTATCTTTTCAGAAGCTGAAGTTACCTTGTTTTTAAACCATTTTTCTTTGAAAAAGGGAGAATAATTTAATGAAATGGGTTTTCCCTCTTCTTTAAAATTCAACATGGTTCTACACTTTATAGTTAAACTTAATTAGAATTATATTCTTCTCACCTCAGGCAAAATCCATGCCCTTGGCAGTACACTTAGGAAGATTCACTTTATTATTTGAAGGTTAACTATATCATCTTTTCGAATCTTTTAAATAAAGAATAAAAGGAAAATTGAAATTTTACTGATAAGATTCTGCCTTGTAAGAAAGATGATACTTTCTCATGGAAATAATAATAAACCCTTGTTCTAAATACATAGCTATGATCTCTTCAGGAAAATTTCTTAGAGTGCTTAAGTACATTATTGACAAAATGACTTGTATCACTATTCTAATATTGCCATATCAAAACTAAAATTATTAGTAAGTTTGCTGGTAGGAACATAAAAATAAGATTACTTTCACTTGCATGCCTGTTTTCAAATGTTAGCAAAAATAAACGATCAATCGTTTTCTTCTTCCAGATGAGAGGTATGTCTGATAAGTCACTCCGGCTAGTGCTATCCACATTTAGCAACATACGAGAGGAGCTTGGACATCTTCAAAATGACTTGACAGTAAGATTTATTTTAATTTTTCTTTCCAAAGCCTTCCTAGTCCCTATCTTCCTAATATAGAAATAAAAATATTCAGTCTGCCTTTTAAAAGTTTAATATAATACAATATTATGGTCACTCAGACATAGCTAAATTATTTTCTTGAATAAGTTAATTGGTGTTGAGAGAGGAGCAAAGAGCTGTCCAATGTGTAAATGAAAAAAATGTTGGGTGTGAACTTATAATTTAGTTTACCACTAAGGTAATGTAATGGTTATAGCCAGGAAGTAGCCTGCAAAATTAAAATAACCTGGCTCACTGAAGGCAAATTTCCCCATTTTCTGTAATAATAAAGCATACTGTGAATTTCTCTTTAAACATAATAACTTGAAAACTTTTTTCTCTGAGGACTTAACCTTTTCTATTTTCTATTTTAATTGGTGCTCTTGGTGCCATCAGCTAGATATATTCAAAATGTTTTTCATATGATAAATAACTCTTTGAGGATTTTGGAGGAGTTTTTGTTTGTTTGTTTGTTTGTTTGTTTCTGCATTATGGTGAACATATTTAAACTCTAATTTAAAAACTCCCCAGCTGTTGGGATTAACAAGGATTCTTTGTAGTTTGGAGAAAAAGATTAAAATATTTCAGAAGATTCTGCTTCATTGCACTTAGAGTTAGTCATTCCATAAAAATGTCTCTTTCAATGCAGGTTTTAAAAATTTCTATCCTTTGCTATCCCATATTCTACGTAACTCTTAAGAATTCTGCTTTATTAAGCAAGTACAAATGAAACAAGTGCTTATTTAAATCTTCAAAAGTAAAAAAAAAGTCTTGGTATTATGTGACTGTTGACAATTTTCTATAATTCTGAGTCATAATAAATAATTCATGCTTTCAGTCACTAGAAAATGACAAGATAAGACTTGAGAAAGACTTGATATTCAAAGAAACTCAAATAAAAGAGTATGAAGAACTCTTGGCATCAGTCAGAGCAAATAATCGCCAGCAGCAGGTAAGTTGATGATTTTATTGACAATAAAGTAGATTGATAGCTTTCATTTGCACAATTACTGGCACATTGTAATTATGAGATACAATCAAGATAGAATTAAAATATGATGGAACAATTTGTCCATATGAGAATTGAGTGGCTTTGGGTAGTAACAATGACTGAAATACTGTCAGAAAAAGAGATAATCTTATATATTTTAAATATAAAGAATATACGATGTACAATTATCTGTGTTTTGGGGCATCAAGAATTGTGTAAATACCAAAAATCTAGATTTACTTATTAATTTGATCTACTAACATGTCAATTAAAAAAAAAAGGATTTGCAGATTTAACATATGTTTGTGCAGTGAATAAATGAATGAATAAACTCTAGAGGAGTTTCTTTAGATGTCTGAGCAGAGATGATTCCTAGGAAATTGCAATGAGTCTGTAAGGCTCGCTTCTTACTAATCTTCACTCCCATACCATCCCAAATTTTTGCTCAGTTGCTACTTGTCACATAAGTAATCAGGCATATGGTAATTTTTGTGCCCATAGGATATAGTATTGTTAAAGAGTAGCAACAGTCCGATTGTTAAATTGGAACAATCAAAACTCATCTAGTATTGATTCCTTCTCACTCAAGATAAGCAAGTTAGGCTAGAGACAAGACTCTAATATCCTACATGGCTAATTTAATGTATCATCTAAGGGCAAGAATATAAGAAAATTGGGCATGGGAAAAAATCTACTTGATTTTGGCTGGTGTGGTAGCTCATGCCTGTAATCCTAGCACTTTGGAAGGCCAAGGCAGGAGGATTACTTTAGGCCAAGGTTTCAAGACCTGCCTGGACAATATAGTGAGGCCTCATCTCTAAAAAAAAATTTAAAAAATTAGTAGGGTATGGTGGCACATACTTATAATCCTAGCTATTTGGGAGGCTGAGGCAGGAGGATTGCTTGAGCCCAGGAGCTCGAGGCTATAGTGAGCTATGATAATGCCACTGTACTTCAGGCTGGGTAACAGAGTGAGACCTTGTTGCTAAAAAATGAAAACAAAATACTTGATTTGACTGAATTAATCAATTAAAAGAGCATTCCCCTGCAAAAAGTAAAATGCATTTGTCTCATGTACTTGTGTCTTCCTTACAGCAAGGACTTCAAGACTCAAGCTCAAAATGTCAGGCATTGGAAGAAAACAATCTTTCTCTTCGACATACACTATCAGACATGGAATACAGACTAAAAGAACTGGAATATTGTAAACGTAATTTAGAGCAAGAGAATAAAAACCTTAGAATGCAGGTATTAAGACTTTGGCTTAAATATATAATATTGCCTTAGTTATGCCATTGTAATCCTAGCATTGGCAACAATAAAGAGATGTGTGTGTGTGTGTGTGTGTGTGTGTGTGTGTGTGTGTGTATCCTGTTCATCTTGAGAAAATACATGGACTGCTTTCTGATGAACTCACACATAGTTAGATATTATCTCAGTGATATTTGAGCTTTATAATGCAGTTCCTAAAAATCACTTTCATTATTTCAGTGTCTTCTTTAATCACATGTTTTTCACATAATAATAAGCCTTCTAACATAATGTATATTTTCTTCATAACAATATAATTACAGAAAGTTATTTTATCTTGTGTAGGTTTCTGAGACTTGCCCAGGCCCAATGTTGCAGGCCAAAATGGATGAGATTGGCAACCATTACATGGAGATGGTAAAAAACTTGAGAATGGAGAAAGATAGAGAGATCTGCAAGCTAAGGGTATGTTGATCCTACAGTGCATAAATACACAGGTCAGCACAAACTTTCTAACAAGATAATGATGGTTTCAAGTTTAACCATCAAGAGAAATCAACTAAAGGTAGAGTTTTAGAAATATGCCATAGAAGCTTTTGTCTTAAAAAGACATTATCATATATAAAATATCATTGTTAAATTGTTTTCTAATTTAGCTTAATCTATTCCAGGAAAGTGAAAGAAGACATTAATTTTAGTGGGGTTTTTTAAAATTATTTTTTGGATGTCAGTGGAGGACTCTCTATGATCTTGCTTAAAGCATGCTGATGCAGGCAAGAACAGCAAAGCCACAATTGGATTCATAAAAATCCTCAACTCTGAGGGATACTAAATAGCAAGGACTTTGTCAAGCATGAGAATAAAAATAGTGTTGAATTTTATGTACCTGTAATTGGCATCAAGATTAAGATTATATTTACAAGAATAAGTATACATTTCCTTATCTTGTAATTCTAGGTTGAATAAACCTAGTCTAACCATTAATTTACTGATTCCTGAATGTAATAAAATATACTTAAATATTTTAATAAACAAAATAACCACATATTTTTTTCTCCAAATATCACTGTACAACCTTTATAAAATATCAAAATAAGAAAATAATGTTTTTAAAAACTTACTATTGTCTGACTGCTCTGGCTATGATTTCCAGCACTATGTTGAATAGACATGGTGACAGTGGGAATCCTTGTCTTGTTCCAGTTCTGAGTAAGAATGCTTTCAACTTTTGCCTATTCAGTATGATGTTGGCTGTGGGTTTGTCATATATGGCTTTTATAATTTTGAGGTATGTTCCATCCATGTCTATTTTGTTAAGAGTTTTTATCATAAAAGGGTGCTGAATTTTGTCAAATGTTTTTTATGCATCTATTGAGATGATCATATGATCTTTGTTTTTGCTTCTGTTTATATGATGAATCACATTTATGGATTTATATACGTAGAATCATCCTTGCATCCCTGGGATGAAGCCTACTTTGATGTGCTGCTAGATTCAGTTTGCTATATTTTTATTGAGAATTTTTGCATCTATATTCATAAGGGTTATGGGGAGTCCTAGACAGAGCAATCAGGCAAGAGAATGAAATAAGGGTATCTAAATGGGGTAAGAGGAGATCAAACTATTGCTCCTTGCTGATAATATGATCTGACATTTAGAAAACCCCAAAGATTCTGCCAAGCGACTCCTGGAATTGATAAATAGATTCAGCAAACTCTCAGGCTACAAAATCAATGTATACAAATAAGTAGCATTCCTATACACCAACAACAGTCAAGTTGAGAATCAAATCAAAGATTCAATACCTTTGACAATAGCTACAAAGAAAATAAAATAGCTAGGAATATATTTAACCAAGGAAGTGAAAGATCTTTACAAAGAGAACCATGAATCACTGAGGAAGGAAATTGCAGATGATGTAAACTAATGGAAAAACATTCATGCTCATGGATTGGCAGAATAAACATTGTTAACATTGCCCCAAAGTGATTTACAGATTTAATGCAATCCTCATAAAAATACCAACGTCATTTTTTACAGAAAAAAATAATCACACACTTCGTTTGGAACCAGAAAAGACCATGAATAACCCAAGCAACCTTAAGCAAAAGGAACAAATCTGGAAGCATCATGTTACCAGAATTTAAGCTATACTAGCTATACTACAAGGCTATCATAATTAAAACATCATGGTACTGGAGCAAAAATAAAGACATAGACCAATGGAACCGAACAGCGAACCCAGATATAAAGCCATCCACATATTGCCATCTGATCTTTGACAAAGTAGACAGCAATATACGCTGGGGAAAAGAATCCCTATTCAATAAATGGTGCTGGGAAAATTGAATAGCCACATGTAGAAGATTGAAACAAGATCCAAATCTCTCACCACACACAATAATTAATTCAAGAATTATAACTGATTTAAATCTAAGACATGAAACCACAGTAATTCTAGAAGAAAACATTGGAAAAACTCTTGTAGATATTGGCATAGACAAAGAATTTATGAAGAAGTCCTCAAGGGCAATCACAGCAACAACAAAAATAAATGGGACTTGATTAAGTTAAAAAGTTTATGCACAGCCAAGGAAACAATCAACAGAACAAATAGACAACCTACAGAATGGGAGAAAATATTTGCATGCTATACATCTGATAAAGGGCTAATAACCAGAATCTACAAGGAACTCAAGCAAATCAGTAAGAAAAAACCCCATTACAAAGTGGACAAAAGACATGAATAGAAGCTTTCCAAAAGAAGATAGACTAATGGCCAATAAACATATGAAAAAAATGCTCAACACCACTAATCATCAGAAAAATGCAAATAAAAACCACAATGAAATATCACCTAACCCCAGTAAGAATGGTTTTTATCAAAAAGTCCGCAAACAGTAGATGCTGGCATGGATGCAGATAGAGAGGAACATTTATACACTGTTTGTGGGACTGCAAACTAATGCAACCTTTATGGAAAACAATATGAGATTCCTTAAAGAACTAAAAGTAGATCTACCATTTGATTTAGCAATCCCACTACTGGGTATTTACTCAAAGGAAAAAAGTCATTTTATTAAAAAACACTGCTGCTAGAATGTTTATTGCAGCATAATTTACAAGATTTGCAAAGATTTGGAATCAACCCAGGTGCCCATAAATTCATGAATAAATTAATAAAATGTGGTATGTGTATATTATATGTACACCATGGACTATTACTCAGCTATAAAAAATAAATTAATACATTTTGCAACAATCTGGATGGAACTGTAAAGCATCCTCCTAAGTGAAGCATCACAAGAATGGAAAAACAAACACCACATGTACTCATTATTAAATTGGAACTAACCAATCAGCATTTATATACACAGATGGAAGTAAAACTCAATGGAAATCATGCAGATGGGAGGGCGGAGGAAGGAAGGTGTGAAATCATACCTTACAGGTACAATGTATACTATCTGGGTGATGGGCACACTTATAACGTTGACTCAAGCAGTACAAAAGGAATCCATGTAACCAAAACATTTGTAACCTCTTAATATTCTGAAATAAAATAAAAAATAAAAAACTTAAATAAAATAAAACAACCTACCATTTTTTCTAGCAGATTCTTCCACTGATTTATTTTCCATGCCAACATTACTAATAGCACTTTAACCTAATAGCCATCTATGTACACATATGAGGTAAAAAGGACAACAGACAAGATTTGTAGTCAGGAAACCTGTCTTGGAGTTGCAGCTATGTCACTGTGTGACTCCGTGTCATTTAATCTCTATGGAACTCATTACCTGTTTTGTAAATGAGGATTATAGTAATGTTTATCTCACAAGGCTGCTGTGAGGATAGAAATAAAAAAGTCATGTAGGAAGAATATTTTGTGAACTGAAAATCAGAATGTAATATTAGTTATTAGTATTGGTATTACCTTAATTAGTATTTGAAGGAATCTCAAGTGACTGTTTTTATAGCTTTATTTTAAATTTTGTGGCCTACGACTGTTACTTAGATAATGTTTAATCCTAAATAGCAAAGGCGCCTTAACAAAAAAAAGGAGAAATTCCTAATCGGCATTTCAATTCACATTTTATTTTTCTGAAATTCTATAGAAGTTTATAACCATTAATATTTTACTTTTCATTTCATAACTAGCTGTGTGAGTTTGTGTCACTAAACTTCCCTGGAACTCAGTTACATATTTTGTAAATGAAGGTTATAATAATAATTATTTCTTTTTAAATCCTTAGTCCCAATTAAACCAGTATCAAAAAGATGTTTCAAGAAGAGAAGGAAGTTGCAGTGACTTCCAATTTAAGCTTCATGAACTGACAAGCTTGCTGGAAGAGAAGGATTCCCTTATAAAGCGTCAGTCAGAGGTAAAAAATGAAGGGGTGGGGTGGAGAGGAATAATACAAATTAGTCCTGTAGGATAAATACTTTCTATGGACTAAAAAAGGGCACATTTCCAAGATTCACTTTATTACATGAAATAGAATATAAGTGCCTGTGAAGAAGTAGAAGGTATATATTTCAGAAGAAGCAATATCAAATTAAACCTAGAAATGGTAAAAAAAATAAGTGCTATAGTACACTTAATATTTTAAGACATTGATTTTATACCTCATTATCAGTGAAACTCCCAAAAAGACTGTGATATTCTTAGTGAATTATAAGCTGCTTCATCAAAGTACTGTATTATATTTTACCCTGAATCTAAAGCATGTAGCCCAGGATCTGGCATGAAATAGGCACTGAAGGAATTACCAAAAATGATGGCTAATAAATTGTATTGCTGTTATTGAACAAGTGGTGCTTGTAGTAATTTTCAGTGATGGACTTTCTGTTAGGAATCTGTATCTGCTTCCATATTGAGGTTTCAATTCTTTTCTGCTATGGCTATCCTTTTCAAGCTGTTTAGGACAAAAATTTTCACATCTTCATCTTGAGAAACATGCCCATTCAATCTCAAATTATCCCCTACATATAGATACTCTATATCAGTTAGTGGGTTCCTGCCTAGGCATATAATATAACTTGTTAGGTACTGTGAAGCAACACTATATGATACTCAACAAGTGGGATTAGAACATTCTTACCTCAAGTATAAAAAATTAAGGAGGGATAATTATTGTTAGTAACTTTGATAAACTACCAAACATACCTCTTATCTCATGTTTCTACTTTCTGTCAAATGATTATGTTGTCTTTTATTTATAAGGAACTCTCAAAGTTGAGACAAGAAATATATTCATCTCATAACCAACCCTCAAGTGGTGGAAGGACTACTATTACTACTAAAAAGTAATGTATTTTTAAATGAAATTTGAATATCATTATGGTGATTATATAACCCAAGTTATTGCATATTTAATTGATTCATCTCTAGACAGAGATTTTTACTGGCTAGTCATTCTACTGAAGAATGAATATGCACAAAAGAACATCACTATTACAGTCAATAAAATCCTGTACCATACTTTCCCTGCATTTACAATATATTAAATACTGTGAAAGTGAAAAACAAATAATTAGTTGTTTAACCAACCACATTAGTTATAACACTTTCAGTTGCATGTGAGAGAGACAAACTTAAACTGGGAACTAGTTAATTCATTTAGTTGGCATTGCTTAGCATCCAGATGGATTTGTGTACTCAAAATATATCTTTATATATCTGTCCTTATATCTTGACTCTGTTCTTTCCTGTGTATATGTCATTCTTAATCAGGATCTCCCCTCATGGTAGTGATATGACTATAGCTTAAATTTCAGCAAATTAGTAAAAGTATAAAATAACTATGTAAATATGAATAGTTTTAGAAAAAGTCTATTTTTGATATTTCATATAAATGGAATCATATAATATGTAGTGTTTTGTGACTAGATTCTTTCATTTTGCACAATGTTTTCAAGATGTACCCATGCTTTAGCATGTCAGGACTTCATTCCTTTTTGTTGCTAAATAATATCCTATTTTATATATATATACAACAGTTTATTCATTAGTTGATGGACATTTGGGTTCTTTTCAATTTTGGGTTATTATGAATAATGCTATTATGAACATTTATGTACAAATTTATATATGTATTCATTTCTTTTGAATATATATCTAGAAGTGGAATTTATGGGTCACCTGGTAATTCTATGTTTAACATTTTGAGGAACAGCCATACTGTTTTCCAAAGCAGCTGTACCATTGTATATTCCAACCAGCGGTGTATGAGAGTTCAAATTTCTCCCCATCCTCGCCACCACTTGTTATCATTCATCTCTTGGATTATAGTCATCTAGGTGGTGGGATGCTCTATCCAATTGTACTTTTGATTTGTATTTCCCTAATAACTAAGGTTGTTTAGCATTCTTTCTTGTGCTTATTGGCCATTTCATGTATCTTATTTGGAGAAATGTCTACTCAAAATTTTTTTCTATTAATATTTTTTAAATTGGATTATTTTTATTGTTGAATTGCAAGAGACCTTTATATATTCTTATACAAGTTCCTTATCAGAGATATGATTTGCAAATATTTCCTCCCACTCCATGGGTTATCTTTTCACTATCTTGATAGTACCATTTGGAGCATAAGTTTTTAATTTTGAAAAAATCAAATTCATCTACTTTTTTTCTTTTCTTGCTGTGCTTTTGGTATCATATGTAAGCAACTATTGCCTAAGTCTAGGTCATAAATATTTAAACCCATGTTTACTTCTAAGAGTTTTATCATTTATCTATTATATGGAGATATATGATCTGTTTTGATTTATTTTTTATATGATGTGAAGTAGGGTCCAAATTCATTATTGTGCAAAGGGATAGCGAGTTGTCCCAGCATCATTTGTAGAATGCACTATATTCTTTTCCCCATTGAATTGACTTGGCAACATTATCTATAATCAAATGGCCATTAATGTAAGAGCAAATTTCATAGACTGATAATTTTATTCCATTAAACTATTTGCCTATCCTTATGCCAGTGCCACACTATCTTGATTACAATAGCTTTTTAGTAAGTTTTGAAATCAGGAGTAGGAGTTTTTCAAACTGTCCATCTTTTCCATGATTGTTTTGGCTATGTTTGGTCCCTTGCTTTTCCATATGAATTTTAGGATGAATTTGTCAATTTCTACAGAAAATCCTTTTGGAATTTTTATAGGAATGTTATTGAATATGCAGAACACTTTGAGTAGTATTACCATGTTAACAATATTAAGTCTTCTGACCCATTAGCATGGCATCCCTTTTCATTTAGATCCTCTTTAATTTCTTAAAACAATATTTTGAAGTTTTTATTGCATGTTTTATACTTCTTTTATAGATTTATTGATACATATTATATTTTGATGCTATTATAAGTAGAATTGTTTTATTTTCATTTTCAGATTGCTCATTACAAATGTCTAGGATTACAACTGATTTTTTTTGTATTGACCTTGCATTCTTTAACCTTGATGCACTCATCTATTCGATTTAATCGTTTTTTAATTGGATTTCCTTAAAATTTCAATATACAAGATCTTGTCATTTGCAAATAGAGATAGTTTGACATCTTCATTTCCAATTTGGATGCATTTTCTTTCTTTTTCTTTCCTAATTGCCCTACAACCTCCAGTAAAATGTGAAATAGAAGTGGCAAGAGTGGATATTCTTGTCATTTTCCTGATCTTAGGGGCAAACATTTACTCTTTAACCTTTAAATATGATGCTAGCTGTGAATTTTTCATAGATATCTTTATCAAGTTGAGGAAGTTTCCATCTATTCTTAGTTTATAGATGTTTCTTTTTTTAACTCATGAAAGTGTGCTGGAAATTGTCAAATGCTTTTTCTATGCCTATTGAGATATCATAAAGTTTTTGTCCATTATTCTATTAATATGGCATATTACATTAAATGGTTTTCAAATGTTACAACGACATTGCACCCTTGGGATAAAGCCCACTTGCTCATGCTATATAATTATTTGTATATGTTACTGGATTTATTTTGTTAACATTTTGTTGAGAATTTTTCTTTCTATATTCATAAGTGATATTGATCTGTAGCTTTCTTTTCTTGTTGTATTTTTGGTTTTGGTATTGGGGTAAAACTAGCCTCATAGAACAAGCTGGGAAGTGGTCCTTCCTTTTCTACTCATTGGAATACATTATGATGATTAATATTAATTTTTCTTTAAATTATTGATGGAATGCTCTTGTTGGAGCTATTTGGGCTGTCCTTCATAGGATTTTTTTTTAATTACTAATTGAAACTCTTTTTTTGTCATAGGTCTATACATATTTTCTATTTGTTCTTAAGATGGTTTGGTAATTTGTGTCTTCCTAAGAATTTGTTCACTTTATCCAAGTTATCTATTTACTGATTTTTATTTCTGTAATTATATACCTTTTCTTCTCTGATTTCTTATTTTAGCAATTTGAGTCCCTTTTTTCTCTCTCTCTTTTTCTTTTTCTTTTTTTTTGGGGAGGGGCAATCTAGATGAAGGTTTGCCAGTTTTGCTAACTTTTTTAAAACCCAATTTTGGTTTCAGCGATTTTTTTCTATTGTTTTCTATTCTCTATTTCATTTATTTCCTCTCTAATCTTTATTATTTCATTTTCTTCTTGTCGTTTGGGCTTAGCTTGCTCTTCTTCTTTTTGTTGCTTAAGATGGAAGTCTAGGTTGTTGATTTGAAATTGTTCTTCTTTTATAAGTAAAGGTTTACAGCTATAAATTTCCCTCTGAGCACTGCTTTCACTGTATCTCATAAATTCTAGTCTGTTATGTTTTCAACTGCAGCCATCTCAAAGTATTTTCTGATTTCTCTTATTCTTTCTTCTTTGACCCATTCATTATTTAGGAATGATACCTTATGCATTTTTGAATTTTCCAAATTCCCTGTTGCTATTTGATATTTATTTCTAGCTTTATTCCACTGTAGTCAGCAAACATACTTTGTATGATTTTCAGTCTTCTTAAAGTTATTGAATCTTTTTCTTGTTCTATAGCCTATGGTCTATTTTAGAGAATGTTCCATGTGTACTTGAGAAGAATATGTATTCAGCTATTATTAGGTAGAGATTTCTATAGATGTCTGTTAGGTCTAGATGATTTATACTGTTTTTTTTTTATTTTAGCATATTAAGGGGGTACAAATGTTTAGGTTACATATATTGCCCTTGCCCCACCCAAGTCATAGCTTCAAGTGCATCCATCCCCCAGATGCTGTGCAACGCACCCATTAGGTGTGAATATACCCATCTCCTTATCCCCTTATCCCCCTTCCCACCTGCCTGACACCTGATGAATGTTGCTGCTATATGTGCACATAAGTGCTAATCAGTTAATATTAATTTGATGGTTAGTACATGTTTTGCTTGCTTTTCCATTCTTGTGACACTTCACTTGGTAGAATGGGCTCCAGCTCTATCAAGGATAATACAAGAAGTGCTAGATCACCATTGTTTTTTGTGGCTGAGTAGAACTTCATAGTATATATATATGGTATATTATTAATCAACTTATGTATTGATGGGTACTTGAGTTGTTTTCACATCTTTGCAATTGTGAATTGTGCTTCATTCATTTTTATTCTTTTTAAATTTTTTCTTTTGACTTTGTATTTTCTAATAACTTGTCTTCTAACTCACTAATTCCTTCTTTTGCTTGATCAATTATTCTTTTGAGAGACTCTGATACAATTCTCACTTTTTCAATTGATTTTTTTAGCTCCAGAATTTCCACTTGATTTTTTAAATTATTTCAAACTCTTTGTTAAATTTCTCTGATAGGCTTCTGAATTCCTTCTCTGTGTTGTCTTGAAGTTAATTGAGCTTCTTAAGGACAGCTGTCTCCATCACTCTGGGATTGTTCACTGGTACCTTATTTAGTTCATTTGGCGAGGTCATGTTTTCCTGGGTGTTCTTAATGCTTGTGAATGTTCATCAATGTCTGGGCATTTAAGAGTTGAGTATTTATTTTAATTTTTGCAGTCTGGGCTTCTTTGAATCTGTCTTTTTTAAGAAGCTTTCCAAATATTCAAAGGGAATTGAGCTTTGTGATCTAAGTTTTTGGACACTGCAGCTGTATCAGTGCTGGGGGCATCCCAAACCCCGTAATGCTGTGACTCTTGCAGACTACTGCCTTGGTGGACTTGGGTAAAATACAGAATAATTCCCTGGATTACCAGTCAAAATCTCTCACTCTCTTCCCTCACTCTCTATGCTAGGCTGCTAGAGTTGGGGAAGGAGCGATATGGGCACTCCCTCATTGCCATTGCAGCTAGATGTGCCAGCTGACATCTGAGGCCAGCCCAGTCTCACCCAAAGCCTGTGGTGACTATTGCCGGGCTGCCTCTGATGTTTATTCAAAGCTCCAGGGCTTTTTCATCAACAGGTGGTGAATCTTTCTTCCCTCTTGGCAGCATGTTTCCCTCTAGGCCAGGGTGAGTCTAGAAATACCATCTAGGAACTAAGGCCTGGAATTAGGGACTCAATGAGTCTGCTTAGTACTTTATGTCACTGTGCCTGAGCTAGTACCCAAGTTGCAAAACAAAGTACTCTGAACTCTTCTCTTTCCTTTCCACAAGTGGAAGAAGGGTTTCCCTGAGCTATATTGTCTAGAGTTGGGGTAGGGTTGACACAGGCACTGGTTTGGCTGCAGCTCCTGGTGTCTCGCTGGGTCATGTGCACCCCATATCCTCTGGGTCTGAGCCAACACAGTCACTGGAATTGCCCAAGGACTGCATCCTTTGTGGTCTGACTGCCTTATGAATTTATTCCAGCCCCTAGGCCACTTTTAGTCAGCTGGTGGTGAGACTAGATGGAACTCAGGTTTTGGGGTGGAGGATTTCCTTCTAGCCAGGCTGGTCTAAATGATCCCTCCTTGGGCACCTGCAGAATTTTGCCCTGTGCTGTGTTCTCCTGTGATGGGGCAGCTTTGAGTTACAATGCAAAGTCCCACAATCACTTCACTCTCCCTCCCCTGGGCACACAGATTCTCTCTCCACTCAGTGCCCTGGCACGACACTACTGGGACATGAGGGAGGGGTGGCATAGACAATGCAAAGCTATCTTTTGTGCCCTTTCAGTGGCTCTTTCCTTGGTATAATATGAAAACCAGGTCCTGTGATTGCTCATCTAATTTTTAGTTCTTCTGTAGGTGCTTCCTTGCATGGATAGTTGTTGAATTTGGTGTTTATGCAGAGGTGTTTCTGGAGGTTTCTATTTGGCCATCTTGCTCCATGTGTTGCTCCCTCTTTTAGTTCTTGAGCATATTTATTGTAACTTCTTTGAAGTCTTTGTCTTCCAATTCTACCATCTGGCCCTCTTTAAAAGTAGTATGTGTTGTCTACCTTATCCTCTTTATGTGGTACTATTTCTTCTTTCTTTGCATGTCTTAATTTTTTGTTGAAAACTAGACATTTTATATAATACATTGTAGCAACTTGGAATATTGATCCCTGTCTCCACACTCTCACCCCTTGCTAGGGGTTGTTTGCTTGGTTGTTTGTTTAGTGATTTAGCTACACTAATTCTTCAAAGCCTTTTTTTCCGCAAAGTGTGCAGCTTCTGATGTCCCTGCTTCAGATATTTTCTTTCTTTTTTTTTTTTTTACTTCTAATCTAACTACCTATATGGTACCCTGCATTGGTATAAGATGCTTATTATTGAAAAGATGTGCTTATGCCACCTTAGCTAGTTAGATTTTTACACTTTGGATATGTGTGTGGCATGGAGGCTGCTATCACAGTTAGGGGATTTACACTTTTTGTTCCACATTCACCCAGAGAAGTAGTGACTGGAGCTCTCTTTCTGATTGCACATGAGAGAGTGCAGCCTTGAGCATGAACACAGTTATCCAGACTGCTAGGTATGAACCTGGTTTTACTTTTAGTCTGGTTCCTAAGAATTGTCCCTGTGTCAGAATAGCCTATTGTCCAATGATTGATTGGTCAGAGTTTGCATTTAGGCCCCTTTGCCATTGAGTCATCTGCCCTGTGTTGACGGTCTGTCCACCTTGTGGAGTGCTTTCATGTCTTCCCCATATCCTGCTCTGATTGCTCCTGAGTAGCTGTCGTCTAGTACATATGCACAGCCTTTTCGAGTCCCATAGATAACTTTGATCCCAGGATGGCTCTTCTTAGCCTTCTCTTTCCCTATTTCTCTATTAAACTTCAGGCTGTTCTATCATTTGCTTATATCCTAGACTCCCTGCCTCCTCTTAATTGCTCTCTACCAAGATCACCATTGTTTTTGATAACATTCTTAGACATGGATTTCTACCCTATATTTCTCAAATGAGGTCAGTCTCATCACACAGAGCTGTGGAGTTTTTGCCCTTATAGCCTGCCGTTCATGGTGGGCAGAATCCCTATGGCACTGCACATGAACTGGAGCAGAGTGACATCCCTGTTCTACCAGTGAACATTGGGGGAAGGTGGAAGCCCTTCATCTTCTCAGCTTGCCCCTCTCATCATGCAACCTTTGACCAAAAAGCATGTTGGGGTGGGGATGATCAAGGACTGAATGTTCTCAGCCTGCCATGTCTGGAATAGTTTCCATCTTATAAGTGGGAGCAGGGGAGAGGAAAAGAGCACAAGATATTCAGCCACTTTTGCCTGCAACATGAGGCTGGGAATGGGAGGCAGTTGCATGGGAAACAAGAAGCTGCGGGGATGGGAGAGAGGGGGCCACTGTCTTCTTAGCTGTTCGGTCCCAGAGTAGAACTTGTATAACATGAAGTTAGGGAAGGAGTTAAAGGAGAAAATCATGGCCCAGTCATCATAGACTCTCAATGTTCTTAACAAGGTTTCATAGATTTTCTTGCATGTTTTTCTATTTGCTGTCTTCCCTTAAGATGAGTCCAGGGACTTTAAATGACTGATTTTTTAAATTATAACTTTCATAGTTAAATCATTTTTTATTGTGGAGGGGATCTGTCAAACTCCTTACTCCTCCATTCTGGAAGTTTCATCTTGCTATTATCATTTTGCTATTTGCTTTCTATTCATCCACATTTGCTTTGCTCACTTTTACCCTCTTCTTTTCTTCTTTTGGATTGTTTTTTCATGGTTACATTTTACCTATTTTATTGGTTAATTAGATATACTTCTTTTTTATGATTACCCTAGAGTTTACAGTATTCTTCTTTCTTTAACTCATCACTGTCTACCATCATATACCCATCACATGTAGCATAATAATTTTATGATACTGAACTTCCATTTCCCCTTCGTGATCTTATTGCTATTTTTGTTATATATTTACTTTTATATATAAGCCCCAAATGCATTGTTGTTTTTTATTTCAACAATTATCTTTTAAATAAATATTAACAACAAGAAAAACAATGTTGTAAATTTACCCACATATTTAACTTTTCTGGTGCTATTGATTCCTTTGCTTAGATCCACATTTCTAGCTTGTGTCATTTTCCCTCTGTCTAAAGGACTTCTTTAATATTTCTTATCATGTTGCCCTTCTGGTGAAGACTTCTTTTGGATTTTTGTTTCTGAAAACAGTCTTTATCTTGTCTTCATTATTCAAAGATATGTGTGTTGGGTATAGACTAGTAAGCTGATAGTTTTTTTAAAAAAGTATTTTAAAGGTGTCGCTTCACTGTCTTCTGACTTTCATTGTGCCTAAGAAGTTTTCTGTTGGTCTTATGATTTTTCTTCTTTGAATAATGTTCTTTTTTCTTTGGCTGTTTTTAAGATTATCTACCACAGGTTTTCAGCAATTTGATAATGATGTGCCTCTCTGTATTTTTCTTCATGTTTCTTCGCCTTGAGGTTTACTGATCTTCTTGCATATGTGTTTATAGTTTTTCATCAAATTTGGAAATGATTTTGTTGTTATGCCTTCAATTATTTTTTGCCTTCTACCAATCCTGTACAACCTCAACTTTACATACATATAGACACTTGATATTTTCCACAGATAACGCATGCTGTATACAGTTTTTGTCTTCTTCCTCATGTTTTATTTTGGACTTTTTGATGTCTTCAAATGTACTAGTATTTTCCTCTACAGTGTCTAATCTGCTGTTGATCCCATCTAAATGTATTTTTCATCTTTAGAAGTCCAAGGTGGATCTTTTTCATATTCGACATTTCTGTTCATTGTGCTTATGATTTTCTCTAACTTCTTGAATATACATTGTATATTTTGTATGTTTCGAATAGATGTATCTTTGCCTACTCATTTTTTATCAGTGTTGTTTCTTCATCTGTTTCTATAATATGAATTCATTTTTCTCTTCGTTATTAGTCATATCTTCCTGCTTCATTACATGACTAATTTTTATATTGAATGTCATATATATCTTGTGATTTTACATTGTTGAAGTCTAGATTTTTTTTTGATATTGCTTAAAATATTTGGGGTTTTGTTCTGGGATGAAATCAAGTTACTTGGAAACAATTTAATACATTTAAGCTTTGCTTTTAAACTCTGTCAGAACAAACTGTAGTCTAAGGCTAATTTCATCCTGCCACTAAGGCAACACTCTCCTGTGGTAGCTATCTGATGACCCCTATATTTGGAAATCTTTCCACCTTGTTATGGAACACAAAATACCACCATCCCTATGTGAGCTCCAAGGATTGCCAGACTGCTCCTTTCCAGTAGTTCTTTCCTCAGTCTTGGTAGCTTCCTCACTGAGTACACTGATCAGTACTCACCCAGACTCCTGAAGAAGCCTCTGCAGATCTCCTGACCTCTCTTCATCTTTGTAGCTCTCTCCTATCCGGTATTCTACCCCACAACTTCCGTGGCCTACATTTACTCTAAACTCTGTCACCTCAACTTGGTGAAACTGCTAGAATCTCTTCGGCTTCCCTTTACCTATCCTATGGCCAAGAAAATCTCTTCAGGCAGTGAGCTACACACTTGTAGAGCTTCTATCATTTGTTTTCCTTCTCTGGGATCACTTTCCTGTGTTGCCAGTGGTTCATTATGGCCAGAAGCAGAAGTCCCTTCCCTTTATTCTCTTGCAAATAATGATAGTAAATCTTTGTCTATTGAAAGGGGTTTTTCTTTTTAGAAACAGTTAAAAGTCATTGAGAGCCAAATTGGCTGAATAAGGGCAATTAAACTAGGAGCAACTAAAAATGAATAAGTTATTTTATCAAGCAGCCTATAAACTAACTCTTTTCTTGTGTATAGATATAGGACACAGTATCCAATCCTAGGTCTCCTGTATGATGACTATGAATATATACCACCAGGTAGTGACACACAGACTATTGTAATTGAGAAAACAGAAGACAAATGGACTTGTGTAAGTTCACTTGGGCATTTCTAGCCCTATTTTGACTATTTTTTAACAGCTTTTAAAAATTAAGATAAAATATCAAATAAATTAAAAACCTTGAGTATTTTTTTTCTCAACTTTCAATGTTTCCATTATTAATATACAGTGGGAATTAAGAAACTTCGGAAAGATTCATACATGAGGTAATATAATTGATTAGTTAAGCTATAATAAGATAGATAGGATTTTTACTCTAAAGAGAAAGAAGAATAATGTTTGAAATATGCTAATTTTAGTTATTTCCTTGTATATCTCAGGAGTTATTGAACTGATTCCATTCAAATTTTTTTTAAAAAAAAGTTTCCTTTTTTCTAAAGCAGGTAGCAAACATTTTATACAATTATGAAGGGAAGTGGAGGATGGAGAAGAGGCATGTTTTAATACAATTTGTCTTACAATCTTGAATGTAGTACTTATTCCTGTAGATTATATTTTTTTAGGATTTTTGAAAGAAGATAAGAGGTGTTTCCCATTAGATTGTAAGATAGATAACTATTCCACAGTTATAGTGAAGCTGCTGAAGAGTATTTTAAACATCATGTACTCTAATATCTACTCTACCTTCTACAACATCCTCCAAGATGACCAGGTGGCATGGACCTTAGCATCTTTCTAAATGGTCCAATCCATTGCTAAGGGGACTGATTATTAAAACTCTCTTCTTATAAAGGATTGAAAACTACTTCCCTAAAACTTTTACTGATTGATATATTAACCTTTAAAATAGTGATCATCAAACAGGGGAGACACAGTTGTCCCTCAGTATCCATAAGATGGGTTCTAAGATCCCTCATGGTTATAAATACCTGCAGATACTCAAGTCCTTTATATAAAATGGCATAGCATTTGCATATAACCTATGAACATCCTCTCATATAATTTGAACCATCTCTGGGTTATTAAAAATACCTGACACAACGTAAATGCTATATATATAGTTGTTATACTGTATTGTTTAGGGAATAATAAGAAAATAAGTCTGTACATGTTCAGTAAAGACACAATTCTTTCCTCGAATAATTTTAATCTGTGGGTGGTTGAGTCTTTGTCCATTGATAAAGTGTGGAACACATGGATATGAAGAGCTGATTAATATACATCCCCTAGCACAGTTGTTCTCTCACTTTTGCTCCTTAAGGGACATTTAGCACTGCTGGGAGAAATTTTTGGTTTTCATAAGCAGGTGTGTGGGTATTATTGTCATCTAGTGTGGAGAGGCCAAGGATGCTGCTAAACAAACTACATTGTGCAGGACAGTCCCCCCCAAACAAAGAATCATCTAGCCCCAAATGTTAATACTGCTGACGTTTTGAGAAACCCTTCTAACAGAACAGAATGCTCGTGAGTTTTTTTTTCATAATTATTTACTCCTGCACTACTGCAAGAAATTCTAATAGTAAGCCACTGATAGTGGTCATAGAAATGTATGATTTCCTTCAGGTGCAATGGACAGAAAAAAAGGTTGAGAATCCCAGCTCTCAAATCATACAGAACTGACTTAAAACATTGTGAAATGGACAACTGTTGATTTTTTTTTTAAAAAAATTCCCCACTTATCAATCTGCTTAGGTACTAAAAATAGGCAAAACTAACTCTATTTATTAAAGTCAAGAAGTGACTATCATTGAGGGGTTGATACTGAATGCAAGGGAGCATGAGGAGGGATTCTAGGATTACTAATAATGTGCTGTTTCTTTATCTGGATGATAGTTGCATATGCACATTTAGTTTGGGAAAATTCATTTAGCTGAATGGTTATAATATGTCCACTTTTTCTACATGTTTATTATATTTCAATAAAAGTCTTACATGCTTAAGTATACTGTGATGAGCAATAGATAAATATATAAATATCAACCAAGTATTCTGTAGAACATTTTGAAGAAATTTTAAAATACACTTTAGATGTATAGTTAATAAAATTAAGCATCTATTGAATAACTCACTTTAAAATATACCCATAATAATTAAAAATTAAATATTAAAAAATCTTTTGGTAAAACAAGCTCAAATATTTTAGGAAACAAAATTTCAGAAAGTTTTTAGCTCTGAAGGCCTTCTTTAATTACAACCAAGACATCAATCTTGTAAATAAGGTTATCATCAACTGAAGCAATGTTTAGTAATGCCAAAATGAAAATAACTGCATAATTTGAGCTTTGATTTATGCTGTTTTTCTTAGATCACTAATTAGTTTAAAATTACTTATTACTAATTACTGGCCAATAAAGGATACTTGATGGCCAAGAACCAGATGAGCAGCAAGAGAAAGTCAGCATAGGATTTAAAATTTGTCCCTCAGAGATAATTTGATAATGAAAGTTAAAACTGACAATCAATTGCTACTACTGACCACTTGTGCCCCAGAAGTGGCAACAGTGTGAGTACTTGTCAAAGAGTCTATAGAATTGTAGACATTACTTCTCTATTCATTAAAACTGTGCAGCAATAAACATCAAACTTGATATCTGAAAGGATGATAGACACTGATAGGAAGTTCAAACTATATTTAAGTTCACAGATGATAGATCTATATTTCTGAACAGAGACATCTGGGCATATTTAACCTCTAAATATGTCAGTAAGGAGGAAATCTACTCAACCTTCTTTCCCTTCTACTTAAAGTCATTTGAAATATCTACTTTGACTAAAATCAGATAAATTATTGTTTCATTGAATATACTCATAAAAGAATACCACAAAAGTGCAATACATGTCCTTTGGTTTTATACATATCAATTTAAATAATTTTCCATAACTGTGTACATACAATGTCTTAAACTAATTATGAACCATTTGTAAGATAACTTTTTTTCTCTTTTCTTTTCTTTTCTAGCCATGAATGAATCCACTTTAACGTATACAACTCAAAGGAGGTTTTGTGTGTCTACATTAGTACTTTGTTATTTTTCTATCACTAAAGGCCAATCAAAATTTGAACCATGCTACTACCTAATGAACCTAATGAAATGAATTAGTTCTGCAAATGAGTTTCTACAGCCATTTGTGAAACCTGAATCATTTCTATAACATCTATGTATTCAGTGTAACAACATAAAAACTGAAAGAGGGACCTGCTTGTTTAAACTTTGATTGTGGACACTGTAAAACATAACCTGTTTTTTTTCAGATAGGCTGTTTCTTAGATACCGAACTAATTTGTTGGGGTAAAGATTTTACAAGTTATTCCATTAGAAGATTTCTCTGATGTTAGATGAACAGTTCAGCTGTAAGATTAGGTGTTTTCTTCTTCTTATTATTATTTTTTTTTTTACAGAAAGAGGCCAAAGACAACTGAACTTCAAAAAAATAATTTAGTGCATGATATATTGTCTGTATTTGCTTTTCTTACATTAAGCCTTGTGACTAAAAGATATGCTTTATTACATGCTATTACACCTCTTGGAAACATAACTAAATCAAAGGTGATGGTTAATTTCATTTAGCAGGGAAGTGGGATAATATCTTCTTAAACAACTAAATCCACTAAATTGTGCATTATGTTATTGTGGCTCTAAGTATGTAGCAGTGCCTTGGAAAGTCTGTTCTTTCAAAGCATATCCTCCCCAAATGAGCCCACCCACTTCCTTAAAAAACATATAATGCTATATAGTGGTAGCGAGTGGAAAGAATGTAGGCTTTTTCAAAGTGGTATATAAATGTAACATTGAAATAGTACATAGATATAAGGCTTAGGGAATAAAATAACAACAACAAATACTTGATAGCTGTATCCTACTTGGGAGAAATACTTTGTAGTAGAGTATCTAATATATTTAGAATTTGGTTAATTGATTGGGCTCTAATGACCTTACAAAGTGAACCTAAGTATTTTTAAAAAACATTACAAGAATGAAATTTCTTAATTTCAACCTGTCTGATTAAAGTTTAAGAATTAGCAAAAATTAAAATGTTGCCTTTGTCAAAGTATAGATTAAGGCAACAAATATATTTAGGTTATATGTAAATAAAGTTTTGCACTGAAACATCTCTGCAAATATCCATATAAAATTCTTTTATGCCTTATAATTATATTCTAACAATTATTCATTTTACTAAGAAACTGTTAAGAACAGATGAGGCACTATAATAAATTAAACCATAAATGAGAAAAATGCTTTTAGTATTCTTTTACAGATATATTCAAATAGGTCTTCATATGAAGCTAAATGCATTATTTATATTAATACTTTGGTTAAAAAGTTAAGCTCTGTAACATGAATTGATGTAATTCCAATTTTATCAATATCTTGTGATAGAAAATGTTAATATTCTCCACAAACTATATAGTCCTTACACTTTTTCCCCTTGGTGTAGGAACAATAGAGCAGCTTCTCCTCTGCTAACTACTCATATATATAACTGTAATAAAAGTATACTGTTATCCAAATATTACAAATGATATAAGGGGAAGTTTTTATTAGCTTAACAGAAAACTGCCATCATTACTGTTTGACAATGAGAACAGGTGTGAATTTTGCAAAATACTAAAAATGAGAGAGTCCAAATTTTGGGGGCAGTTACGAAGTCAGCACTTTATTGCCCCACTTGATCCGTAGATATTAAATAGGGGTCATAACAAGGTCCTTATTATACTTAATTTTTAAAATTTTAATACAAAATTTAATAATACAGAGAGCTATTCTCTGTATTTAAATGGTGATTGCTTAAATACGTATTTCTTTTCCAATCTGTGATTAAGATCAATAGAAATAGTAGTGATATATTTTCCTCTCAAGTTTCACTCAGCTTATCTATGAAAACTACATATTTCAGGTGAGGCCTATTTATCTAATTTCTATTCCAGTATGTGTTTGCTTTGTTTGCTTTAGATTTGTCAAATAAAATGGAGGCTGTGTGATGACATGCAGAGTAATTTTTTACATGTCTAAGTGAAATATGTGAAGCATCTGTATGGTTTTTGTGAAAATTCAAGTAGGAAATGTACAGGAAGGAGTTTTAGCTTAGCTATATATTTTTGTCAGGAAATTATCACGTGAAGGTTTATGTTGGAGCTAATGAATAAACACTGTTCTCATTGAAAACAAAAGCAAAAAACAAAACAAAAAAACCTCCCTGACGTAGACTACTTTAAGATAGTTCAATTTCCAGTTGATGCAAGTTTCTGTTTTAAATTATAATTTCTTTGCTTACAAACCTAGTTTTCTAACTCACTTGTTTTAAGCGTCACTTCACAAAGCATTCATCCCATTCTTATAATTATGCTTTAACTGTATTACTTTTTCTCAACATGGACAGTACAAAAGGACCAAAATAAAGCTTTAAAAAATTTAATCTCACTATTCAATTTGGGTCACCTTAAGGAAAAGCCATCCTCACGCCATTTTCCCATTATTTCAATCTACAAAAATGACATGTTTTTTTGGAAATAATTCTTTTTTTTGAAAACGATTCTTTTGAAAGTAAGCAATATGCTGTGAAAAGATTTAATTACAAGATCCATCTTCCCCACTACATGCTAATACTAAATTTACTGGATTTTCATAATTTTTTGTCCAATTGAAAAAAATATAAAGTATTTCATGCTCACCCTAGATAAATAGTAAATAGAAAATATTTAAGTGAAGAACGTAATTAACAATTGCATCTTTCTTAATAGAACCTTTAACAATATTTAGTCCAGAACAAAAACATACCTCTTTTTAGTCTACAAAGGAACACTGGAATTGTTATATAATTAGATGATAGCCAGGCAATCTCGGTAATCTTGAGTTGGTCTCTTGTACACAATGAGATGTTAAGTTCGTGATCTTTATGTTTGGTTTCTCACCCTACCACATTAAAATAATTCTTTTTTAGTGAGGTATGTGTTCTTGACATCCTTTATGTTAAGAGACAGTTTTTGCAATATAATGCTTTTGTTCTCCAGTTAGTTTGCTAATACAGTGTTGACTACTTCTACTTCATAGGTGCCAAGACCTAACAAAGCAGACCAATTTCTTAAAATGGAAGAACACATAGGCTTTTTGATGTAGTTCCCTAAAGGGGTCTGATGATCCAGCACTGCTGTGGTGGTGGGTAGTGCTGAAATCTAGGATGACAGGGTTTTGGAATCAGATGGGAAGTTACTAAGACTTACAGTATGGGTTAAATGGGACAGTTGTCAATATTGTCAGTTGGTTCAGATTTTAAAATGGAGCAATTCCCTTTAGTTTCTTGGGCAATGATCAAAAAGAAAGGATTAACAACTGGAACAAGCAGATGAAACATTTTTAGTCTGGGACATCTAGTGTTCTACCCTTGCACCTACAAATTAGTCAATTTCATCTACAGGGCCTTTAAATAGCTGATAACAACATCCAGTTCTTATCTGAGATCCAAGGTTCTAAGAGATTTTTCTCAACCAGTTCCAAATTTACAAGCTAATTCTTTTGGAAGGACAGGGTGGAGCTGGAAAATGGTGAAACTGGGAAGATTCTCTAATCCAATAATATTCTAGGGTTCAAATCTAGTCTTGCATTTTCTCTAAATAAAGACTTATTCGTTATAAAAATCTGATTGGATAGAATTCCAAGCCTAGCCAGCTTTTTCTGGGTTCTCAAAACAAGAGGAAGTAGAAAGAGCTGAACAAGAGGATTCTTTTGTTCCTCCACTTTCCTAGGAGATGAGTCATTTTTCGCCCTAGAAGTAGATATATTAAAAATTATGCTACACCTTCCTTTAAAATTCTTAAAAAGATGTATGGGATTTGCTTCAAATTAAACGAACGGGGGAAGGAGGCATTAAAATAAGCCAATCAGGTGTAAGCAGATGAAGGGAGGAGTAAGGAAGAATATAAATGGAACAAGATTGGTCATGAAGTAATAATAATTGTTGAATCTGGGTGATAGCTACGAAGGTTCATTATATTCTACTTTTGTATATGGTTTTTGCAATTAAAGATATAAATGCATCTATAAGGGGAATTCAAGATTCCAACTGGTGGTTGTCCTACTTGAGACATGAAGAGTTGAATTTAAGGGCCCTACCTGGGTAACAATTCTCAAATACTTTCCTCTCCTGATATGTGACAGACCATTTAGAAATGGCAAGTGGACAAATCTGCACATAATGACCCTGAATTGTTCTAGAAAAATAATTTTTCAGTAATTCTCATTTTTTTCTCCTTAGGGTAAAATCTTCTCTGGTATATAGAAAAGCCTTGTGCCAGTAAAATCTGTATTTTTTTAAGACAATCTTATGTTTGTAACATGCGCTAAAGTCTTAACTGCTCTACCTGGGCTGAGGTTTTCTAGGCCTAATTTACAAGTAGAAGAAAATCCATCGACTTTTCTTCTACTTCACTATGACTATAAACTGGAATACCCTCCTACCATGGCTCTCTGCTTCCCTCAGCTCCTCTACAATGCATTCCTCACACAGCCTCCAGAGAGATCTTCAATATATAAATCGTGTCATATTACTCTCTTGCTTAAATTCCCCTAATGGCTTCCAACTTTAAACTTCTCACAGTCTGATAGTCTTACCAGTCCCCATCATTAACCATTGCCCAGCCAAAGCTTGTTCCACCTCAGGTAATTTGCACTTGCAGGTTTCTCTGTCTTCCTTTTCCACAAGATCTTCATATGACTAGTTCCTTCATGCAACTCATGCCTCAGCTCTAACACCATGTCCTCAGTAAGCATTGCCTCTATGCATTCATCCACAGCTATCTGTTTAAGCAAAGTTGCCAGTGTATACCAGAATTACACTAAATGTTTTGTCTACTATCTGATTACTCATATGGTGGCAACAAATGGGAGCTTGCTAGAAATGCATAATTATAGCTCCGGTCCCATACCTACTGACTCAGAATATTCATTTTAACAAGTTCCCTAGGTGATCTCTATAGACATTAAATTTGAGAAGGACTGGTCTAACACGCAAGGCTAATAGATTTCTTTCTCTGTTAATGACTATTAAAGAATAATTAGTAACCCAAATGACAAAGAGTCTTAACTAATAGTTTTATATATCTAGATACATTAATTCTATTAAATACTGACTAGTTTGAATATAATAAGTTATTTTTATGCTCACTGGCAGAAACCTCTCCCAAATACTTAAATCAATACTTTTCTTTTTGAATGTATATTGGAAACATACTTAGATATATTCATTTCTCAGGATTGTGCAATTTAAGCAAGTTAAGAACTTTTAGTTTTCTCTATAATACTGTATCTCAAGTCTTAAAATGAGCATCTTTATTTATCATATTTCATTATGGTTTTAGCAAATAACAATTGAGGAATATGCATGCCATAATCATTATAATTGTTTAAATTCCTAGCTCATTTTGTTGTCAATGCATAGAAGTCAACAAGACATTAAAGACCAAACTGCCTAAGAGAAATCTGAAGTGAAAAGTCTTTTAATAAAGAATGAACATTACAACACAACTTTAAATAAATTCATAAAAACTTGAAGTGCAACAAATGCTTTTTATTGTATGCTCATTTCAATGAGTAACATTTAGAAATAATAATCCCACATAACAGTGACGATCTTATTTTACAGCGTGTACATCATTTACAGCCACATAACACACAATTTTAGTAGATTTTCCAAAGTTAATATTCTGAAGTTAAGAAAGATAAAAAATTTATTCTCAAGGAATGGATTCTTATCTGGTGCAAAAACAGAAAGGTGAACATTTGAAACACAAAGCCACAATATAGCATGAAGTAAAATTATATTTTAATTATGTTGAACAGCTGAATGTAAACATGAAACAACTAAAACTTAAAAGTACACATCATATGCATTACATTTATGAACAGGATTTTCATTAAATTTCCCTAAACCAGCTTTTAATATTAAGCGCCATTTTGATTTGCAGCATGCTAACACAAAGCGTTGTTAAAGGGATGCATATTTTAAATTTATACACTGTAAACTGAATATCCACCTCCGAACTCTATTGGCAGTATATTGTTATGTTAAATACTGCATAAATACTGCCTCATATTAAAAATGCATGTTAATAATATGGTATATCGATTTTAAAAATCAAAAGTTTCAATAATGGCATAAAATTGCACCTTTAAACATTAGAGCAAGTAAGACTAGAACAATCATACTTGCTAAGACTGTCCTAAAAAACCCTCTAGACATTATAATACTTAAGAAAACTGTGTTCTCTCAATTTAATCTTTAGATCATTAAGAAATATAGTGCTGATTTTGTTTGCAACACTACTGCTGCATCCATTTTAGAAAGCCACATTTGACTCAAATATATTTTTTATATATGCCATACTGAACAACAATCAACTTGAACATCCAAAAAAGGGAATTTTAATCCTTATACTTTACCTTAGACTTCAGCACAGAATGCTATATTTTAAACATCCTATCCTGTGATAAGATATTAGCAGCTTTGAAATTTTTTTAATAGTACTGAATTAATCTAACCTGTTTTCTAGTGAATTTTCTTTTAATGAATACACAAAACTTTTTTCATTTCTGGAATTCAATTTCCAGGTACAATATAAAAATCTCAATGAGTAAGTGACTGATGGATGACTGCATTTTATTTCCCCACCCAATTTCTAAAATTTCTTAAAAGTGAGGCTTGCTTGCTATTGCAAAGCATTGTTAAACTCAATTATGTATTCTTTTCAGAAACATTTGACTGTAGTATGATCAGCCAAATCAAGTATTTGTCTTTGCTTTTCCCCTCTGTAGTTTTAATACTATTAAATAGACACTTAAGAAGTTTTTCTGTGACCATTCTATGGTGCTTCTTAAATTATTTAAGAAATTTTCAAAGGGCTATGAGATCCCCTGTTAATTCAAATGTTTTAAGATCTTTAATACAAAGAATGTAAAGTTATGATTTAATATCAAGCTTTGAAACCAGATGAAAGTTAGTGAGATTTTTCTCCCATGTAGCATATCATATTTTGTAAATAACTTCTTTCTTTATATTGATCTTATTACATAAGAGCCTCCTTGTGGTGCCTCATAATATGCTGATTTTTTTCTGATGGTCTTCGGAATCCCTTCTTGCAGAATTCACATCTGTGTGGATAGTCTTTTGTATGTATTGATATCACATGTCGTTTAAAGCCAGATGCATCTGTAGTGCTGTATTCACAATACTCACATTGGTAAATCTTCCTTCCAGTATGGGTCTTCATATGCTTTTTGAGCTCATTTTGTTGCCTGAATCCTCTCTTGCACCTTTTACACTTCAATGACTGATCCTTAGTATGAACTGAAAGGATATGGCCACTAAGAATAAATGGATCTGATGTTTTAAAGTCACAGTGCCTACACTGATGAATCTTCCTACCCTTATGGATATCACTATGCTTTTTGAGCTCAGAAGGCCGATGGAAACCTTTATCACAGACCTCACATTTGTGAGGAAAATCCTTAGTATGGACAGATATGATGTGCCGCTTAAGGTCACTTGAATTGGTGCTCTTGTGGTCACAATGAGGACACTGGTGTGTCTTGTGTCCTTGAAACAAATCCAGATGGCGCTGAAGCTCCCTCTCATCACCAAATGCTTGGGGACAGTGCTCACATTTATATGGCAAATTGTTACCATGCTTAGACTTAATGTGAGTTTTCAGATTTGACTGATCTGCACACCTGAAGACACAATACTGACACTGATATGGCTTCTCACCAGTATGGGTTCTCATATGTTTCTTGAGTTCAGAAGGATGTCGAAAACCCTTCCCACACTCAACACAAACATGAGGAAAATTCTTGCTGTGAACAGCCAACAAATGTCTATTCAATAGTCCTTGTTCTGCAGTTTCATAGTCACAGTATTTGCACTTGTGCATCTTCGGCTCCTTGTCTCTTAAGATAAGTTTATTCGAACTCAGTGGACTAGCCTCTCTGTATCTCCGTGTGTATTCTGTAAATTCATGGGTTTTGTCAACTTTGTTTATAAGCTTATGGCTTTCTAAGTGGTTATGAAAACTCACTTTCTTGTTAGTTGTAAAGTCACAATCTGTACACTGATATTTTTTTCTCATCAAATGATCAGGATGATTCTTCATGTGTCTTTTTAAGAATCCCCTGGATTTAAACTTTTTTGTGCAAATATGGCAAGGGTACACTGTCAGGGGCTGTCCATCAGGACCTATTATAACAGCTAGATAAAAAAAAAAGGAAGTTGTGACATTTGGTCAGACTGTTTTAAAGGATTTTACAACAAAGGCGCCAAATAGTTGGCATTCACTATGTGAAAACTATACTGGTTGAATAAAATCCTGCAGGATAAAAATGCACACTAAAAGTTTTACTTTATGGTAAAATAGCTCACTAAAAAGTAATAAATGGCATTCTAATATGTCCTCATCATCTACCAAAAGCAGAAACAAGCACCCTTGTTAAACCAAACTAAAAATTCTCTTAAAACATCTTTTGCATAAAGAGAAAACAAGCATAGTTTTATTAAGTACCAGTTACACACACTGCAAAAAAGGAAACCCCGATTATCTATATCATATACAATGATGTATATGATTACCATGTAAATAACCGATTTTTCCCTTTTGGCATAGAAAAATACTTCCTCATCTCAAATCATTATAATATTCATAAAGCAGAATATTTTACCTGTTTGCCACTGCCTGGTTTCTCCCCTTCTCCTTTTCTTGGCTTTTTGTTTAAGTACTTTATTTGTATTAATGCTATCGCAAATTTGAAGGTACTGGGCTGCTGTACTACTTCTATTTTCTAATGTTGAGTCCAAAGTATTTCCTAGAAAAGAAATTGATACAACATTAAACTACATATATTTATACTTTTTTGGTTCTGTTAAATACACACAACATGGTACCAAGTTTCCACTGCAGCAGTAAATTTTACAAAGTATATCCATCTTCTCATTATCTTTCTTTATCTCTCATACACACACAGACATGTACATGACAATACTTTGAATAGGATAAAATGTGAAATTAACTTTAAAGTATCTCAGTTTGATCATCCTCAAGGAATAAACTGATAACATGAATGTAACACAAGAAACTGAATATTATGACCCTAAACAAAATCTTGGCATCAGATCAATTTTTCACTAATAATGGCTGACGAAATTCAAGAGATTTAGCAAGAAATATACATGTATCAGTGAATCATTATAGTCATGGTAACTATGTGTAATGCATAAAAAACAAAAAAGATCTCTTTGTATATATGCTTCAGAACACTAGATTTGAAGAGTATTAAGGTTGATTTTAGAGGTTAAAATAGGTTTGGCAGGCAATTTACTATAATTTCAGTGCATTCAGAAGTAAGTACTTAATAAAGTCTCAGTTCTTACAAATATGTTGTGGTATCATGCAATTTAATTTAAAAATGTAGACCTACAGAACTGTTGTTAGCTTATATGCTGTGATCTATGCCTCTCATCAATTTCTCTGAAATCTCCAATTAAGTTTAGAGAGTCAAATACTTCCCAAGGGTAGAAATGGAATAATCAGACACTCTATCATGAGAAAAAGTCTCCTTGCTTAATGGAAAAATAAGACCATCTAGGGAATAACACTAGAGTGTATTAAAACTAAAAAAAACTGGCCGGGCATTGTGGCTCACAGTCTGTAATCCTACCACTCTGGGAGGCCGAGGTGGGAGGATCACTCAAGGTCAGGAGTTCGAAACCAGCCTGAGCAAGAGCGAGACCCCGTCTCTACTAAAAATAGAAAAAAATGAATTGACCAACTAAAAATATAGAAAAAATTAGCCGGGCATGGTGGTGCATGCCTGTAGTCCCAGCTACTCAGGAGGCTGAGGCAGAAGGATTGCTTGAGCCCAGGAGTTTGAGGTTGCTGTGAGCTAGGCTGATGCCACAGCACTCTAGCCCAGGCAAGAGAGTGAGACTGTCTCAAAAAAAAAAAAAAATAGTAAAAAAAATTAAGCTGACACATGGGTTTTATATAACAGTTATATATAAATCTACTGGTTGTCAAAGAAATTAAGAAAACAATTCCACTCTAAGAAAGACATTAACAAGTGGTTGATATTATGTATAATTTTTAGTTTTCTGTTCAAATAATTTCCATTATATAATTTTTTCAATAGCAACCTTTTATGGTCCATGTGGTAAGCTACTTGATACCTATACCTTCAGGGAAATCTAAAATGAACTGCATTGACAAATTAACACACATTATATACATGCATAAATTAATACCCCAAAGAGGTGAACTCCTATGTAACTAACTAGATTAGATGTGATCAGGCAATTAGGAGTCCAACAAATGTCTGTAGACACAAATTCTACACTTACCAAGCAGTATATAAAGCGAGACATTTAACTGACATCTCATGCACAATGCTCTCTTACCTGATGCTTGACAATCTTCATACCTTCGAGAAACTC